TCCCAAATCTTGTCTTCCGGTTGCAGGTAGTTTATAATTCGAAACAAGTTCTGACGACTATATCATATAGCCCCCATGAGAACTGTTGGAATATTAATCTATCGAGTAATTGAACGAAAAATCATCACAGCTTTAATGTTTTTAAACATATTCGCAGTTTTCAAATTTAAACCACTGATTCAGAAAATGACAACATTTTTTCTGTGGCACCATTATTTTTTTAAAGTGTATTTAAAGTGTTTCACATTTTGCGTCGAAATTTTATTAATTATCTCCAGTTCTGCTTAACCGATTTCGGTCATCGCCAGCTTTTTTTACTATGTAGAAACAGACCATTCTGACCCCACCCCTATATGTTATAAGGACAGTTTTGCTAATATGGTTGTATTTATCGATTTATAATAAGTCTAATTTAAATTACTTAATATTACTAGGTTCGATAAAAGCATAAATGTTTGATGATAACCAATCAATATAATTTTCCAAAGATATCACAGGATATACTGCACTATAATTTGAAGGGCAAAGTTGGATCTACAAATTGGCAAGCGAGTAGGGCGAAAAGTACGACTAAATCTTGAGCGAACAGAGATGTCAATATAGCTAAGGAGGAGGCCAGAGTTCACCTCACCTATGAGAAGCTTATGCAAAAAAAATTAATTCGATTCTTACATTCTACGATGTTTTAAAGACTTTTAATCAATTAACATTAACCTTGAAGAGTAAGGTGGCAAACGCCAGTTACTTAGAGTTTCCAAGATGGTAAGAGTGTATGTGTGCTGAAATCCGGTAAAAGGACATATATTTGCATTTAGCGTGGTTAAGAAGCAACAAATTATTGGAACACCACAATAGTACTTGATCAATGTCCGACTGTAGGCGAAGGTATGACATTTGGTCAGAGAATGATAGGCAAATTTTTACGTAGTCCGCATACATTAGAGTAGAGGCAAATGACACTACTTTTGGAAGACCTTTAATAAAAAGAACGAAAAGTAGTGGCCCCAGATGACTTCCTTGGGGGACACCAGCGAAAACATTAACGACGGGCGAAAGTTCACTATTTAAGAGAACGCGTTGAGTTCTGTTTGAAAGATAGTCCGAAATCCAGTTTAGTAAATTAGGTGGAAAACTAAGTAAAACTAATGTTTTACAAAGGCATCATGCTGTGCGGGAGAACTTGGGCCGAGGCAGTTACGTCCTGGGTAGGCACGCTGGGTGCCGACTCAGCTCACCGGACGTGGTGGGTTCTTTGGAAACCACTCACTCCCCTACATAAAGAGAATATATTTATCGTGCCTTAGGAAAAAGATAGAGCTCGTTCAGTTCGTTTTGTCATTTGTCATCGCTGGCCACAAGCTTCTCAAGTAGCTATCTCGAACGCTTGACCGAATTTCGATCGGCGGCGCGTGGCTGTTTTACCCTGCGCCTTCATATGTTCCGTATGCCGATGGTTCGCTGCCGGCTACTGCAATGCAATCCCTTATTGTCAATGTCGTCAGTCGAAAGTTACGTCATTGTTTTTGACCCGAGTTTTTGCATTCGCGCCAGCTCCTCTTTTTATAGACGTTTACCAAGACATTATTGAGTTCTATTGAGTTTGGGTGACCTTGAGAAATATTCTAAGCGGTGTATATATTATTTCTATTAACGTGCAATAAAACTGTTAAAATTGAATATACATTTAAGAATAATAAATTGGAGTTCATTTATAAAAATAATGATATGGATACCACATTACTTTAAATTTAATGTATGAGGTTTATATATACATAAATTTTTAAATTGCACAAAGATCTAGGTATATACTTACTGTCGCTTGACAGTAAGTCGAACGTAACTCACTTACCCCTATATTATTCCATCGACGAGAGCTCTCATTGTGGTATTCTGGGTTTGGAAAATTATTTATACACATATGCATAAATATATATATATATCAGTGCAAATTCACTTAACGTTATTAATAAATTGTTAAATTAATTTATATGTAAAAAAAATTACGTTAATTGACATTTCTTAGAATTGAGCAATGTTGGTCATTTTTCACAAACAGAAAAAAAGGTTTTATTGCGATACGAATTGCGAGGAAAAGAAGAGTGAAAACGGCACTCGCGATGATTAACGGTAGCACTTCTAACAGTGGTTTCTCCTGGTTGTTCCAATTTCATATAAAAACTTTGGTCTCTTGCTTGTATTTAATTTTTCATTTATTATTGATGGGTGTTGTTGGTTGTTCAGACGAGTCTTATATTGCCGAAATTGAAATAATTAGTAATAATAGCTATTAGAAATAATTGAAATAGTTAATTTTTATTTATTTATTTAAGTGCTGGCTCCTTTCTGGGCAATTGGTAGTGACAGCTATGATTTTCTCCAGTTAGTGTCCGTGGTCCCGACGAATCGGAGAAAATTCAGAATCAATATAAGTATCAAGAGTCCAGTAATGAGGCACAAAACATTGTAGACTTTAGTTATGGTCCGTTTTGCCTTCGAGGTTGCAGATCCCATGATATATAAATAGTGTGTTTCTATTGGGTTGCACATTAGATCACTCGGATAGATCCTCTTACCCTTGCAGCTATTGCAAGAATTAAATATTTTTGAAAACATTAAAATTATGATTTACTTGCGTATATGTCTAAAACATTGAAGCAATGATGATTTGCAGCTCAATTATTAGATAGTTGTTTTATATAATTTTATTATTTCTATGGGAGCTATATGATATAGTCGTCCGATTTTGATGAAATTTAAACCGTAATTCTGAAATATTTGACCATTACTATATGTCGAAGAACTAATTGAAAAATTTAAAAACAGCAATGTTATAATTTTATTTGTATTTTTTTTCTAATTGTTCCTATGGGAGCTATATGATATAGTCCTCCGATTTTAATGAAATTTAAACTGTAATTCTGAAATATTTAACCATTACTATATGTCGAAGAACTAATAGAAAAATTTAAAAACACCAAAGTTATAATTTGTATACCCTTGCAGAGGGTATTATAATTTCAGTCAGAAGTTTGCAACGCAGTGAAGGAGACATTTCCGACCCTTTGAAGTGTATATATTCTTGATCAACATCACTAGGCGAGTCGATCTAGCCATGTCCGTCTGTCTGACAGCAAAGTAACCCTCCTAACACTTCTTGACTTAAGCAAAGCATTTGACTCGATAAACCACGAAATACTCTGCACAAAGATTCGCACACTGTACAATTTCTCTTTAAGTCCAATAAACATCATCCGAACATATCTCATAGACAGGGTGCAGGCCGTCGTCTCCGGGTCGCAAAAATTTTCAATTCTGCCTCTCACAAGTTTTAGGTCCACTGCTTGCCTCGTTATATGTACATGATCTCCCTAAATGTATTTCTGTTTGTGATGTGCACCTATATGCATGATGATGTCCAGTTATATGTTAGCCGTCCCCTAAGTAAAATTAGTGAGTGTATTAGAATTGGCAACAATGAAATTAAACAAATAAATAATTGGGCTGATGCGAACGGTTTAAGACTCAATCCATCCAAATAAAAATGCATTCTAATTCATAAATAATCAATTGACTTTAGCTGTCTTCCAAAGATTGAGGTAAAAAATGTTGAAATAGAATTTGTTAATCGAGCCACAAATCTGGGAATAGAGTTTAATTCCACCTTAACGTGGGATGACCATGTGAAGAAAACCACAGGAAAAGCATATGGCCTGCTCAGGCAGCTTTCCTTATCCAGAAACCTTATACCACAGAATATCAGGATGCTTATAGCGAAGAGCTGCATAATTCCAACGTTGTTTTACGGTGTTGAAGTATTTGGTTTCTGTGACGCCATAAGCATGAGAAAACTAAAAGTTTCCTTCAACTCAACTGCGAGATATGTTTTTAGTTTAAACCGCAGGGAGCACATAACGTGTAGCTCAAATAAAATTTTTTAACTAAGCCTTGAGTCATGTATTAAGTTAAAAACCCTCTCATTTCTGCATAAACTCCTGGCTAAAAAAGAGCAGCAGTACTTAATTGAACATGTGCAACTGGCTTCGTCTGCTAGAACAAATAACATTGTCTGTAAAATATCAAAATTGGCGATGACGGAAAAACAAAAACGGAACAGGCTGTTCGCTATTGGAATAACCTCCCTAACAATATTAAATGTATAAGAAATGAAACGCACCTTAAAAACGAACTTATAAACTATTTAAAGGGCACAAGCTAATTCTTATTCTTATTTTAGTTTGAATTATTATTTATTATTTTTAATGTTAATCTCATTTTGTAATTGTACTTCTAGTATTTAAGTTTTATTGTACGAATCCCAAAGTATTTAAGTTTTAATGTAATAATCACAAAATGACCGATGAATCTGAAAAGACTTGGTCTTATATCGTCGAGACACTAACACAAATAAATTAAATTAAATTAAAATAAATTAAATTAAATTAAATTACTAACATCTAAATATTTATACCAATTTGGATTCCAAATACCTGGACGTCTACAGTCACGAGGATCACGCCCACCATCTCGTCAAAACCCAGCCCAAACAAAAACTAAATCAGGTGATTCTATCCAAATTTGGGGAACAGGAAATTGTGCGCAGTCTTGCGACGGGTATTCAGCTCAACGCCACCAACGAGGAATCAGTTTTACGTCGCCACTATATAAAACGCCTGCCACCTCTTGCTCGTGCTGTTATGTAGGTTTGCTCGAAAGCTCTCCCAATACCACACCTTCGCAGCTCCTAACTGCTGCCGATTTCAACGTTACAAACAGTGCTATTTTCACTCAAGAATTAATAACTCAAAAACATAATCACTATCCTTGGAGATCAGCAGGCGAAAAAGGATTTGCAGAAACTTTGTGCAGCGCGACACGTCCGGTTCCAGTGAATGCAGATTTCCTACTCTGCACATTAAGAACACATTATCTATTTAAAACACTAACTTCTTAAAATATATTTTAACGGGATTGAAAAAAACTGGATTTAAATACGAAGAACATTTATTTGCAATAGAGTTTATTTTAACTTGTTGAAGTAATTGTAAACTACATCATTTTTAAATTACAGTATTTCCAGAAGTGTAATTTACTCCTCAAAGTTTGGTGCCGAACTCTTTGTTTTCGAATAATCCCTCACAGGTGAATAAAACTGAAATAAAAAATAGTTTTTTTTTAATTATTAGATAAATGATCAAAAATCTCTTAAACCAAGCCAAGAAGACCATTGACTTTGAACATATTATGGACTTGTTCTGAATGTGGTTCACTGAAATCAGTGAGTAAAATATTGTGGCTCAAGCCTTTATTGCACCTTTTTTTAAACGGATGGACATTTGTTAGAATGAGGTGAATAGAAAAAACGTTGTGTATTGATGAAATGTTTTTTAAGATCCCAGTGGGTACAAATACGAATGTAAAACGAAACTATCGTTAAATGCTTAAATGCTCGTAAACGGACTTAAAATTACAAAAAAAAAAACAAGAAAGAAAGCAAACTTCGGCAAGCCGAAGTTCATATACCCTTGCAGCTATATCAAAAACTAAATACTCTTGAAAACATTAAAATTATGATTAACTTGCGTGTATGTTTAAAAACATTGAAGCTATGATTTGCAGCTTTACGATTGTTCGTCCGATTTTGATGAAATTTCAGCCGTAATTCTGAAATATTCAACCATTACTATATCTCGAAGAACTAAAAAAAAATTAAAAAACACCAAAGTTATCATTTTTTAAAATTTATTTTTATGATTGTTCCTTTTTTTATTTTTTTTTCCGATTGTTGCTATGGGAGCTATATGCTATAGTCGATAGCATCTAGCATCACTTGGAGAGTCGATCTAGTCATATCCGTTTGTCCGTCCGTTTCTACGCAAACTAGTCTCTCAGTTTTAAAGCTATCTGTATGAAACTTTCCCAAAAGTTGTCTTTTTATTGCAGGTAGTACATAGGTCGGAACGAGCCGGATCGGACGACTATAGCAAATAGCTCCCATTGGAACAATCGGAAATTCGGCAAGCCGAAGTTTATATACCCTTGCAGCTATTGCAAGAATTAAATATTTTTGAAAACATTAAAATTATGATTTACTTGCGTATATGTCTAAAAACATTGAAGCAATGATGATTTGCAGCTCAATTATTAGATAGTTATTTTATATAATTTTATTATTTCTATGGGAGCTATATGAAATAGTCGTCCGATTTTGATGAAATTTAAACCGTAATTCTGAAATATTTAACCATTACTATATGTCGTTTTGTGTTGTTATATGTTATGTTGTTTTACGGTGTTGTTGTTATGTTGTTTTACGGTGTTGAAGTATTTGGTTTCTGTGACGCCATAAGCATGAGAAAACTAAAAGTTTCCTTCAACTCAACTGCGAGATATGTTTTTAGTTTAAACCGCAGGGAGCACATAACGTGTAGCTCAAATAAAATTTTTTAACTAAGCCTTGAGTCATGTATTAAGTTAAAAACCCTCTCATTTCTGCATAAACTCCTGGCTAAAAAAGAGCAGCAGTACTTAATTGAACATGTGCAACTGGCTTCGTCTGCTAGAACAAATAACATTGTCTGTAAAATATCAAAATTGGCGATGACGGAAAAACACTATTTCATACAGGCTGTTCGCTATTGGAATAACCTCCCTAACAATATTAAATGTATAAGAAATGAAACGCACCTTAAAAACGAACTTATAAACTATTAAAGGGCACAAGCTAATTCTTATTCTTATTTTAGTTTGAATTATTATTTATTATTTTTAATGTTAATCTCATTTTGTAATTGTACTTCTAGTATTTAAGTTTTATTGTACGAATCCCAAAGTATTTAAGTTTTAATGTAATAATCACAAAATGACCGATGAATCTGAAAAGACTTGGTCTTATATCGTCGAGACACTAAAACAAATAAATTAAATTAAATTAAAATAAATTAAATTAAATTAAATTACTAACATCTAAATATTTATACCAATTTGGATTCCAAATACCTGGACGTCTACAGTCACGAGGATCACGCCCACCATCTCGTCTATGGGAGCTATATGCTATAGTCGATAGCATCTATAGCATCACTTGGAGAGTCGATCTAGTCATATCCGTTTGTCCGTCCGTTTCTACGCAAACTAGTCTCTCAGTTTTAAAGCTATCTGTATGAAACTTTCCCAAAAGTTGTCTTTTTATTGCAGGTAGTACATAGGTCGGAACGAGCCGGATCGGACGACTATAGCAAATAGCTCCCATTGGAACAATCGGAAATTCGGCAAGCCGAAGTTTATATACCCTTGCAGCTATTGCAAGAATTAAATATTTTTGAAAACATTAAAATTATGATTTACTTGCGTATATGTCTAAAAACATTGAAGCAATGATGATTTGCAGCTCAATTATTAGATAGTTATTTTATATAATTTTATTATTTCTATGGGAGCTATATGAAATAGTCGTCCGATTTTGATGAAATTTAAACCGTAATTCTGAAATATTTAACCATTACTATATGTCGAAGAACTAATTGAAAAATTTAAAAACAGCAAAGTTATAATTTTATTTGTATTTTTTTTTCTAATTGTTCCTATGGGAGCTATATGATATAGCCCTCCGATTTTAATGAAATTTAAACTGTAATTCTGAAATATTTATCCATTACTATATGTCGAAGAACTAATAGAAAAATTTAAAAACACCAAAGTTATAATTTGTATAACCTTGCAGAGGGTATTATAATTTCAGTCAGAAGATTGCAACGCAGTGAAGGAGACATTTCCGACCCTTTGAAGTGTATATATTCTTGATCAACATCACTAGGCGAGTCGATCTAGCCATGTCCGTCTGTCCGTCCGTCTGTCCGTCTGTCAGTCTGTCCGTCCGTTTCTACCAAACTAGTCTCTCAGTTTTGAAGCTATCTGCATGAAACTAACCCAAAAGTTGTCTTCCTATTGCAGGTAGTATATAAGTCGGAATGAGCCTGATCGGACGACTATAGCACGACGACTTTTTGATAAAGGCATGTGGTAGGTTTGTCCACGAGGCTAAATAGTGCTACTCTCCTCTGCTGTTTGTTAGTTTTCTGCCTTTATATACCCTTTCAGTTATTGCAAAAATTAAATGTTCTTTAACCTGTATTTAGATTTTAATAAACATTTTTTAAGAAATTGCCCAGAAAAATTCAGCGTACACAAACATTTAATCATTTATTTCTTGGAACAAACAAACAAAACAAAAAGCAATTTATGTAATTTCTGTCATGATGGCGCCCAAAGGAAAGGAAATTTTTGCAGTGAAAAGATAAATTATAACGATGTTATTTCTTGAGGGTAAATGATGTGGGTTGAGCCAACTCCTCCATTCAAAAGGTTGTCCAAGCCCCGAGCTGGTCGTCCTCCGACTTAAACAAAGAGGGAAGAAAAAAAGTGTGTTCCACTAGTTCAACAAAAAATTTTTATCCGACTGTGAAACACAGAGGTGGTGGAGTATTAAATTGGGTCTGTATTGCTGCAGAAGGCGTTGGGAATCTTAAATTTATAGATTGGATTCCAATAAGACCCACATGGACTATATGGGTATAATACGGGAAAACCTTCATAAAAATGCTCAAAACTTGGCACAGAAGGGAACGTGAAGCTCTGGCTGTTATATAATGTTCGAAATCAGGTTAAAATGCCACAATCACCGTACCTTAATCGATTCGAGCACTTGAGCGACCTACTTGAGCGCAGAAAAGAAAACACAACTACCAAAACTATGATTAATGAAGTAATTTTACAAGAATTGTCTAAAATTAAGTCAGGGGACTTGTGGGTTATATGCAGTTAAAAAGCCGAAAAAACACGATTTTTGAAAAAAAAATTTCTGAGAAAACTAAAAAATGTAATTATCTGATATTTTGTACATGTCGGCGCACACTAAGAGTGTGTGGATGTTGGTATGAGTGTATGGGTATACGTCTCTAGAAAATTCCAGAAGACTAATTTCATCATTAAAGTAATATTGCATCAGCCTCTAACGGTGCTTTGTTTGGTTGTATGCGTGTTGTCGCTTAAGAAGTACCGTTTAAGCGGGGCGACAGCGTTGTGTCGCTGTGGTCAAGTGTGGTTCGGTGGTAAGCACAGAAAGAAGAAGGGATGACGCTGGTAGTTGCTTTCAGGATTTCGTGCGTGTGAAAGCGAAACTCGCTGCGCTATTACAATGTTGTAAAATAATATCAATCAGAAGTGGGATCTGGCTCGCTGCCTAATGAATCAGATGGACCATGGCGAATTTTAATGGAAATGCAAAATAAAAATTTGATCGAGCTTATTAAAGCTGTACAATCATCGACACCTGAAACAACAAATAAAAAAACAATTGTGCTACCAAAATTCAACGCGGATCTTGATGGCGCTAACAAAGAATCGGTAGAGTGTACAGCATTTGTCACACCAGACGGGCAATATGAATTTTTGGCAATGCCTTTTAGGCTCAGAAACGCACCTTCAGTATTTCAACGCACAGTCATGCAAGCTCTTGGAGACCTTGCAAATACGTTTGTTGTCGTTTATATGGATGACGTAATGGTGGCTGCTGCAACAAAAAGTGAGGCTTTGGAAAGGTTGCAAATTACTCTTAATTGTCTCACGGAGGCTGGATTCTCATTCAATGTAAAAAATGTTCTTTTCTCAAGTCAACAATTCAATATCTGGGGTATGAAGTGAGTGCAGGTGAAATCCGCCCGAATTCGCTTAAAGTTACAGCGTTAACTACCTTGCCACCTCCTAAGACAATCTCTGCTTTACGCCAATTTATTGGATTAGCGTCTTACTTCAGGCAATTTATGCAAGGATTTTCCTGTTTTATGAAACCGTTATATTTTTTGACTTCGGAGAAGAATGATTTTGTTTGGAGATCGGAACATGAAGAAATTAGACAAAAAGTTATTTCTATTCTACACAAAAGCCAGTTTTAGTAATTTTTGATCCGAACCATCCGATCGAGTTGCATACTGATGCAAGTTCACGGGGATACGGTGCTATCTTGTTACACAAAATCAAAAACAAGTCTCATGTCATTGAATATTATAGTAAGGCTGCTTCTCCGGCTGAATCACGGTATCATTCTTATGAACTAGAAACTCTTGCTGTTGTTTTGTCTATAAAACATTTTCGCCATTATCTATTGGGTAGAAATTTTGTTGTCTTCACTGATTGTAACTCACTTAAAGCATCAAGAACTAAAAAGGATCTATGTCCCAGGGTGCAAAGATGGTAGGCGTATTTACAGTCCTTTACATTTGACATACAATATAAAGAAGGCAAGCGAATGTCTCATGTTGACTTCTTTTCAAGAAATTCGCCTTCAGCAGAATTGACTTGCAAAACTCTAGAAAAACGAGTAAATTTGGCGGAAATATCTGAGAATTTGCTTTTGTCCGAACAGCGTCAAGATTCTGAAATAGTTAATATTGTAAATTAATTGAAAGAAAATTTTCTTGCTGAGGACATTACTAAAACTTACGAATTGAGAGCAGTAATACTTTATCGAAAAATTCAGCGAAATGGTAGAACTCGAACCTTATCAATTGTTCCTCGACCATTTAGATGGTCCGTAATAAATCAAATTCATGAGTCCATCATGCATTTGGGATGGGAGAAGACTATGAAGAATATGTCCAAGTATATTCGGAAGTTTGTTGATAACTGCATTACATGTAAAATGTCAAAGTCTTCTTCGGGTAAAGTTCAAGTAAGTCTTCATCCAATACCAAAAGTAAATACACCTTGGCACACAATTCACATTGACATAACTGAAAAGTTGAGTGGCAAGTCTGATCAGAAGGAATATATCAGTGTTCAGGTGGACGCTTTCACTAAATTTGTTTATTTAACCCATACGCTTAAAATTGATGCTGAAAATTGCATAAATGCTGTCACGTCTGCTATTTCTCAGTTTGGAGTACCAAATCGCATAATATCGGATCAGGGCAGATGTTTCGCCAGTACTAGATTTAGTGACAACAAAAAATTAATTTACATTTGATTGCGACAGGTGCAAGTAGGGCTAATGGTCAAGTTGAACGCATTATGAGCACCTTAAAGAATTTATTAACGGCCGTTCAATTAGCCTTAAACTGTACGGTTAGTCGAGTGACAAAAGCAAGCCCCTTGGAATTGTTTATCGGCAAAGTTGCTCGCCCGTTGGGGTTGCTTCCACCCTGCGATATGGTAGAAGAGGTCGACTTGGCAGAAGTAAGAACACGCGCAGGTCAAAATATTTCAGCTGCAGCAACATATAACAAGGAGCAATTTGATAAAAACAAGGCTAAAATTGTTGGATGCAAGGTTGGAGATTTCGTATTGTTAAAAAATGAAGAAAGGCATCAGACAAAGTTAAGTCCAAAGTTTAGGGGGCCGTTTCAAATAACTGAACTATTAGAGGGGGATAGGTATATGCTCAGGTCTTTGACGAATAATAGAAAATATAAATAAATTCATGATGACATAAGAAAAATGAAAAAGACACTGTTGAAAGAGACAGTAATGTAGTAGTTGAAAAAGACACTGTTGAAAGAGACAGTACTGAAATAATGTAAAAATAAACTGTTGAAAGAGACAGTAATAAAGAAAATGAGTTGAATCAGAAACTGTTGAAAGAGACAGTAATGAAGTAGTTGAAAAGGACACTGTTGAAAGAGACAGTACTGAATAATGTAAAAATAAACTGTTGAAAGAGACAGTACTGAAATAATGTAAAGATAAACTGTTGAAAGAGACAGTACATTTGTTTTTAAGAGTTAATAATAAAATCTGGTATAATAATGTAAGCACAAGTGCAAAACAATTGTTTTGATCATGGCGTGTGGCGCATTAGATAATATTTTGAGAAACCTGAGTGGTTAATGATAATGTAAAAATGAGCTGTATCAATAGGAAGATGTTATTTGTAATGAAAATAATAGATTTAGATGAAAAATTAAAAATTATATTTGAATAAACTTTTATAAGGTCTTGAATGGTAACAAAGCATTTTTGGTAAAATTGCACGAGGTCGTGTAATGGTCAGGATGGCCGTGTCGGCGCACACTAAGAGTGTGTGGATGTTGGTATGAGTGTATGGGTATACAGTCTCTAGAAAATTCCAGAAGACTACTTTCATCATTAAAGTAATATTGCATCAGCCTCTAACGGTGCTTTGTTTGGTTGTATGCGTGTTGTCGCTTAAGAAGTACCTTTGTTGTAAAATAATATCAATGCTGCAACATACACATGTTATGTTATATTTTAACTGTATTTTAAGACTAAGTATTGGAAAAAATATTTATTTGGAAAGGAACTACAGCTAATCTCAGAGAGATCCTCTAAAAAAAAGGCGTTTTGCGGTGACCACAATATCTTTGGACAGGATGTTATTAAAATTTAAAAATCAAAGAGATGCCGTTGAAGTATTATCAAATCTAGTAATTAATCGAAGTAATGATTTTTAGGAAAACAAATTTTTTTTGACAAAATGACGGTTTTTCAAACATAAAAAATGATTTTTAGAAAAATTAAAAAAAATGTTTGATTAATTACTAAAAAATGTATTTAAGAAGCTCGTGTTATGATGTAAGACTAGTCGATTTGAAAACACCATTTTGAGTAAATCAAGTTTAAAGTTTGAATTTGGTTCTAACTTCAGGGTTTTAAACATTTTAAGTTACAGCGTTTCAAACGACCGGCCGTGTTCTAGAACATCAGAAACCAAAAATCTTAATTTTTAATTTTTTTAATAACAAAAATCGCGTAGTTATCTTAAAATTGCTCAAAAAAAAACTTCGTAATTACCTCGAAAAATATATCAACTTTAAAATGCATACACAATTTGTTTTCCAAAAAGTAGGGCCACGAGTTTTGATGTTCACCGCAAACCAACTTTTTTTCAAGGCGCCTCCAAAGATTTGATTTAGCTCACCGCTCAAATATTTTTTTAGAATTTTTTTTATTTTTTAAATGTTGTAACTAAATTTAAAAAAATAATATAAGTGTCGCCGCAAAAAAATTATAAAAATATGCGTTTTATTCTGCTTTTAAACCCTACCCCTACCGCACTATCATGAGTGGCCGACCCAGCTTTATTATACAATACCTGCAATAGAAAGACAACGTGTGGGAAAGTCCAGCTGATAGCTTTTAGCTGAGACTAGTTTGCGAAAAAACGGACAGACAAATAGACGGACAACTCTAGATCGACTGTCCCAGTGATGCTGATCAAGAATATATATATACTTATAGGGTCGGAAATGTCTTCTTCAATGCGTTGCAACCTTCTGCAAGGGTATATAAATGTATTTAATGGTGTACTCATAGTTTGGAGAACAAATGTATTCGCTTTATAGGGTCGAAAATTTCTCCTTCACTGCGATGCAAACTTTGACTGAAAACATTATACTTTCAGCAGAACATGAAAATGTTTATCTTACTTTTGTTGTTTTGCAGAATATAACAAATATACCTTATATTGTTTGTCCTTGTACTCTTGCCATGGTTCGGGATTCGATGAGCGATTCCAAGTCACATCTGGGTTTCGAGTAGCAAGTCGAGCCATGTAATATATGGCTCCAATAGCTCCCGCCCCAACACACACATAAAGTGGAATTAGCTATAAAAATGTTGGTTATGTAATAACAAGAAATCTGAACTTAAATACATATATGTTGCTTACAGCTGGATTTTTTTTAAGACTTTGTAGTCCAAGTCCTTGCATTTTTCTGCAGTTAGTTAATGAAATTCCCGGTTAAGATATTTTAAAAATTGTGGAGCAAAGAAACAAAGTTACCTAACTTTCCTTAATTCAACGAAAATCAGAGTGGCCGATTATTTCAAGCATCAAAATACTGTACTTTAAGTAAGAAAATATACTAAGAGCTAAAAACATTTTAAGTATATTCTTCATATGGGAACGGTGGAAATTGTGACTCGGAAAATGATTTCATTTTTTAAATCCAATCGAAACGATTGACATTTTTGTCCAAAAGAACAATAATAAAAAGATTGTAAATGCAGACTTGTTACGGTTTCGACCCAAACGGTGCCTGAGGTAAAAGTTCGTCTCTTTTAAGAATAATAGCCAATTCACATTACAGTTTTTTTGGGAGAACGATGAGATTCACACTGCCTGTCTACAAAGAAGTTGGCGGTAGTCGCTGGTAGTCCGAATGGGAGTTTCACTTTTTGACCGTCTTCTCATCGATCTCCCAAAACACACTGTAATGTGAATTGGCTTTTAGTCTTAAAAGAGACGAACTTTTTCCTCAGGCAACGTTTTGGACGAAAGCCGTAACATGTCTGCATGTAAAATATTTTGATCATTGTTGTTTTTTGATCAAAACTGTCAATCTTCTCGATTGGATTCTCTTCTTCTCATTGCTCCCCAAAAAATACTGTAATTATTAATTTAAAATTACAGTTATTTAGTGATGGGATTCAAATATACCAAATTTACTAGGTTAAACGGCGTAAGATAGGAACAGCAGAAGTAGACGGTGGAATATTTAGGGACATTTTGGGACGGAAAGCTTATACGCACCGTCATTGACGGTAGAAGGTAAACGTTAGACGGAACCCAATGTGAATTGGCTATTACGGTGAGGGTTTTTCAGCTTGTTTTTACTTCAGCCTAGTATTCAGATCGACTAATAGTTACGCCAGCGTAAAAACTTTATTCTTTCTGTGACCAAAGTTTTGGTCTTAGGGTCTTACTGTCAGTCAGCTGAGGTTGTTGACAAACGGAAAACAATTCAAATTTAAGCCGCCAGCTTGCAACTACATGTAATCAAAATCAAAAGTGGCATGTATATGGAATGGAAATATTTTTCCGTCAACATTGTATTACTGTAGTAGGTTTTTCTCGGGTTTTTGGGTTATTACGAGCATTTTTTGATATGAGAAATACTATACTCTGCCAACTCAAACCTCCAAGGATTAAATTTTGTATTCTTTACGCCGGGGCCTGGCGTACGTTCACCCAGAGAAATCTAGCAACGTTATGCAACGTTATGCAACGTTATGGAATTGTTTTCGTCGATCTGAGTACCGACGAAAACCGTTTGTCGGCTATGAGAGAGAGCGAAAAGAAACTATTCGACAGTGCACGTCGGTACTCAGATCGACGAAAAAAAAAAAATTGAAATGTGCGTTGCCAGACATCTGGGATGAACTCTCGATGAATGTTTGTCAGGCCCTGGAGAAAAGAATACAAAATGTAATCTTTGGTGTGGATTTGGTGGATTTGAACTTGTAAGTGAAATGGAGGGAAAAACGATAAAAACACGAACAAGCCTCGTATCTACCATTCCAATACCAAATTTAACTCTGGCGTCGTTTATATTCAAAATCTTCGATTTTGCTTTCTCAAATTAATATAGTTTTTTTTTTTTTTTTTTAATTTAATTTTTATTTACAATCTGTCTAATGACAATAAGTAAATTGTATCACTAATATTTACATAACAGGAATAGCAGATTTCCAGTGAAACCTGCTATTAATTTAATTTCTCGTTTACTTAAATTTACCTATCAGGGAGATCAAGAATGTGGAATCTTTTGAGTCTTCTGAATGTTAAGCTATTGTCTACTAGACCTAGGGCTAAATTATTTACATGATTGTGAAGTCTGTCTGTATATTTCTTACTATATTTTTTTATATCCTCTTTTACAGTTGGAATATTTAGATCTTTATGAATATTTGCATTGGTTACATAATATGGATTGGATCAAAATATACTAAATATATATAGGGTGAAATAGCAGAAGATACGGACATCAGAGGTTGGCGGTAGAATATTTTGGGAAAATTCGGGACGGAAACTTTGTATCACTAGCCGTACAACATATAGAATGCTCATTTCATACAATGAAAATAGACAAAAAAAATTTCTTAGCGGGAGGCCCCACGGGTTCTCAGCAGCAGGCGCTTCGTGTGCATTCGGGTTTTTTGCTCTCTCATTCTTATTCTCATTTTTATGCTCGCGGACTCATTGCATGAGTTTGATTGATCACATTTCGTTGTTTTTGTGTCCATTTTCGTTGTATGAAATGACCAGTCTATATGTTGTATGGTTAGTGTTTGTATGCACCGTCATTGACGGTAGAGGGTAAACGGTAGACGTAGACTAACGGGAGGAGGCTATTAGGCTTAAGTAAATGCCGGTCATTCCGAAATTTTTTTTTAAGAAACGACAGACCCTTTAGAACCATTAGAACTTAAATGTTTCTGTCGGATTCATTTTTTTAAGTAATAAAGTGATAGTCAAAAAAATATTGATGGTGGTGACCAGGACCTCTAGAAGATACAGATTTTTATTTTGTCATTTTCGAATTCTTATATTAAAATTGTCATTTCATTTTTTGAGTACTTGCCTGAAATATTGTTCAAGATCAATTCATTACACTTTTAAAATGTACAAACTGTTCAAAACAGCCTAGCGTACTGCATACATTTGGACTAAATTAATGTATTAAGTGTTGCATTTCTTCTTTCTCGATGTTTTCTTAGGTATACATCATTATTTTTTAAGCTTAACTGTTGCTTTCTAAGATTTTGTTTTCAACATCGGTCTAGACGCAGATCGGTATCGACAGGAAGCGCCCGTGAGCCTAACTTTAAGAAGTCACACTTTTTCAACTGTACAACGTAAAAATCCTCCTTAAAGCCTAGTACTCAGATCGACGTAAACCGTTCGCCGCTTATGAGAGAGAGCGAGAGGCAAATAACCGAACACTTTTCGACAGTGCCTCTTTGCACATAGGTACTCAGATCGACGGAAAAAATACTATAACTGTGCAGAGCGTTGCCAGACGTCTGGGATGAACTCTCGATGAATGTTTGTCAGGCCCTGACGAAATGAATAAAATATTTAATCTTTGGTGTTGTTGGATTTGAACTTGCAAGAAAAATGGAGGGAAAAAAGAAAAAATCTTGAAAAAGGCGCATATCTGTCACCATTCCAATCCCAAATTTAACTCTGGAGTCGTTAATATTCTAAATTTTCGCTTTTGCTTTCCCAAATTAATATGTTTGTCAACAAGTGCAGCTGATTGACAGTATGACCGAACCAAACGAACTCGGGGGACCTCTGAAAACTTCGGTCTCACTAGAAAGAAATTCCATTTTTCGCTGGCGAAACTGTTTGTCGATCTGATTACCAGGCTTTAGCCCAGGCGTAAAAAGGTTATTCTATCTTGTGACCGAAGTTTTGGTCTTATGGTCTTACCCTCAGTCAGCTGAGCTATTTGACAAACCGAAAAAACTTATGTCGTGTAGCATAGACACAATTTCGCGGCTGGCGAAAGTCCGCCACAAGTAGTTTTAAAACGTGTTAATTTCGCGCGAAATTATTTCGGCTGGCAGCATGTTTTTTACTCGGCGGACTATATCAGTTTAAAACGTCATAAGTCCGCCCCACCTTATTTTTTAAACGACATAATTTCGCGAGATCTTATGACGTTTAGCAGCGAAATAATTTCGCCAGAAAAAAATATAAGTTCGGGGACCAAATGTACTGGGCGGAATTATGTCGGCGGAATTATGCCGACCGGGAATACTGTAGTCAACACTGTATTATTGTAGTAATTTTTTTTGTTTAGTTATTCTGTAAATTTAATGATACGACAATTCTGTGCTCTACCAACTCCACCCTGAAAAGATAACATTTTTTAATTTTTTCGTCGATCTGAGTACCGGGGTGAAAAAAGGCACTGACGAAAAGTGGGCGCCGTTTATTCGAAACTCGCTCTCTCATAGCAATCGAGAATTAGAAACAAAATTAAATTTTTTTAATATTATTTAATATTATTTATTTAATATTATTTAGAAACAAAATTAAATTTTTTTAATAATATTTTGGCCAAAATAATAGCCACATTCATTAAACTTTTAATTTTTTTTTTACTAATTTTTGATTGAATTTCATTTTCGGAGAAAGAAGGCGTTGACGGTATACGGTGGCAGGACGAATTGAAGTTTCACTTTTTCACCGATTTCTCATTGTTCCTTAAGATGGCAGTTGTTTAGTGATGGGATAAAAAATTCTATCTTAACTGTGTGAAACAACATAGGAACATAGCAACATAAGAACAGCAATTTTTTTTGGGAAAATTTGGAACGGCAAGTTTATACGCACGGTAGACGGAGCCTTATAGCCTTTTTCCACAGAGATCCATCCAGCTTCCACAATCCTTTGATGGGTGGTCCACACAATTTTTCCGTTCTAAGAACTTCCCAGTTAGGCTGGGGAAGGATTTTGACGAACTAATATATGCAATAGTTAGCCGATATTTTTGCGGTGCAGCACTGTTCCAACGCAGTGCATCCCTGAAAAAGCGTTTAGATTTTCGAAAAAAAAGTGAAGCTCCGAATTCCATAGAGCACGTCCAATTACCACCTATTTCAGCTGATCTGAACAGCTGTGGCGCATGAAAAAATAAGCAAAGATGGTTGTCCTGTTGATTTTGTTTACGTTTTGACGGGCCGCATATGTTCAGATCAGTTGAAATCGGAAAGTGGAAGGTGAATATACTCTGTGGAAATCGGAGTTTCACATTTTTTAAAAATTTTAACCGTTTCCAACGGATGGGCTGTCTGAAAAGAGGGCATTATGCCATCAAATTTTAATGGCGGAAGTTTCTGGAACGGCGCAACCTTATGGACCCTCCCTTCAACGAATGGTGGAAGGACCTGTGGTAATTGGCTATAATGTGAATTGTGTATTATATTGACAAAAAAATGTGAGGTGGGGAAACATCAATGTTCGGACATCAAATTGATTTCGATGTCTTTAAAAAAATGATGTGTTTTGAAATCTTGTAATGGTAAACGA